ATATATATATATATATATATATATATATATATATATATATATATAGGGCTATATCGGCCCTATGTGTACTCTTAATACATAACAATATTAGTACAATCATGTTGTGCAATATTGCTAATTCACATTTTATTTATAACCAATATTGATTATACATATATTGACTATATTGGTCCAATGTATGCTAATGTAATCAGGCCAATGTAACGCTAATGAATTATGCTACTACAGAATTGTAATTTGAATTTCAGTTGTAATTTTAATTGTAAATTTCAATATGTTTCAATTTCAAATATGTATCTGTATCATTTTCACTCACAATTTCAATCACAAAAATAATGAAGACAACAAGGTGTATATCAGAAAATCGAAATTGCTGCGCAATCATACGCGGAAAGCGCCAAAAGTTTTTGAATCTTTCTGTACGTTTAAAGCTCCAAAAATACATCAGTCGTAACACCACGGTAACACGCGATGTCCACGACTAGAACGCTTCTCGCTCGAAGCCGACACGAATCTTACCTAGTATAATCTAGATTATACCATTGGCAGAGCTTGTGTGCGATATTTTTAAAAAGCTGTGGATATAAAGAGTGCGGTAAGCGCGGCTTTCAGTTCAGTGCAAGTACGAACGTTTCAATCAACACGATATTCGATCTGATGTGAGAGAAAAAATACTTTCATCGACGAGAATATTCTGTTTTCAATTAAAATGTCGCAGCAATCGGTACGTATGTTTTTTGATGTTAATAACATCGTCCGTTTTGACTCTTTTTTTACACATATGAACAGGTTTTTTCGACGTATTTCTGACCGTTAAACACAAATCCGTTGTCTAAACTTGGTTATCGCGTTGCAATTTAAAAAAACTGGATTAAAAGGAACTAAAAACAATTTTTAAGGATTCCATCATTCCATGATGTAGCAGTGGTAGACATTTTTTTCTAAATTTCATTCATGCCATTTCATTAATGAAAGTATGAGCTTTAAGCTTTAAAATTCGTTTTTCCATTTTATTACAATTTTTCCTTTTGAAAATATATCTAATTATATTTATTATAATTTATTACCATTCAGCTATACATAAACAATAGCCAAGAAGGGAACTTGGTTTACAAAAGCAGCTAATTAACATTCCAACACCCCCCCCCCCCCCC